CTCTCTCTCTCTCTCTCTCTCTCTCTCTCTCTCTCTCTCTCTCTATCTGTTCCAGGAGGGTGTTGCGGGCACCAGAAGCTGTCAAAGGTGGTGACATCAAAAGATTCGGGTGGTGAGTGGGTTTCCATTATAGCATCATTCTAACCCTTATACCTCATCCCTCCAGCAACTGTAATTAAGAGATTTTGCGTTTGAGATGGCTTTTTGAGTTTTGAAAACTCTTTTTGAATGTAATGCTTGGTTGCCTTATTTTGCTCAGCCTACATGGATATTGAGCTCTACATATCAAATCCCAGCTTGCAGATTAGCAACCAATAAACAAAAAGAAATTATATTTTCCATTAAAAAAAAAAAAACTTGTTGTATAACCTACCAATAAAAAATTCTCAAAAAGAAAAAAACATCGTATCACCTCATGGCAATCTATGTATCACAATACAGTAACCTATCATCCGCCGTAGTGAGCACCAAAAATTGTAGAGCCACAGATACAAGCATTACATCACAGCTTTCCCTTTTCTTTTAATTAACATGCAAACACATCCACTATGTCTTGTGTGATGATTAATAACACAAATTGCTACCATTATCCATCACAGGGGTATCAATATAACCATCTACTTGACACATCTAGTCATCCCAAGAGCATTATAGGATGTATATGTTGTTATTCAGGGTTGTAGTTGGAATGATTCTCATTCCAGCAAACAACTAGATCTTGTGTGATCATGCCCAAGGTGTAACTTATGATGAGGATGGGAGTAATAACAGAAAAGAAAAGAGAAAAAAAATTAAAATGATTATTACGACTTCATTATGCATGACTGCAACTATCTTTACATTAGACTAAGCACACGATATACCACCCGATGGCAACACGCAAAAAATTTTACACATGACCATGCTATAACAGTAGACAAGAATCAGCAAAAAGTGCTATGAAACAAGACAAAAGACAGAAAATCATATTAATCCGTACCTCTCCTTGTCAATCAAGGGCTTACTCTTGGTTAACCCTTCTGAAGAGTTGTTCTGGTCCTGCTTCACAAACCCAAACCTGTCCACTGGCCGAGGAGAGGGAATTGGTCCCGGTTCAAAATCATCGACACCTGTTCTTTTCCTATCCATTTCATAAACAGGTATCATGGTCCTGGTTCCAAATTATTGCCACCCATTTTTTCGTCTCCAATTCATGGACAGGTATCATCACCTCTTGCATTCTTTAGGAAGTAATAAGATGGGATCCTCTTCAGCCATAGCTACCTCAATGCCAATCTCTAGTCAGTGATCACATAAGAGAAGGTAGCATAAAAACATCAATTAAGATTTGAAAACCATTGAGAGTTAGTACTCTGTAATTTTAAAATAAACCCCAATGGTAAACAATCTTTCTATGGAACAAACAACTAAGCGTTTAATGTAGAAAAACAAAACAAAGGAAATAAATTTTACATCAGAAACAATTCATATGGTGGCAAGGAATAAGTTTCAGAGGTTCACATAACACCTAAAATTCCCAAATTCCCAAATTCAAGTCCTGATTCCAAAAAAAAATTTCTTGAAAATCTATATGATCACGCACCAAATTACTTCCTGAAAATCTATATGATCACGCACCAAATTACTTCCTGAAAATCTATATGATCACGCACCAAATTACTTCCTGAAAATATATATGATCACGCATCTAAAGTGAGTGCCAAAATATGGCCTACCGATATGACTCATGTATGTCAAAATTTTCACCAAAGGAACATCTCTAGACATGAAAAATCAGAGAAAATAAGTCCACATGATAGTGCTTCATGAACAGAACATTCAATCATGATAGAACTTATCAAGCAAGTAGCCATTACATTCCATTTTTATGTTTTCATCACAATTAACAATAGATAATAACTCAAAACTGTGAGTATTCTGAATATGGTTCTTTTGGACAATCAAAATTCTTACCAACCAACAGAGCAAAAAGCGTATGAAATGCCAAATAAACATGGATTCAGAAAATGCAAAAGAAACAAATGACAAGAAAATAAAAGAAAAACCCGAATTCGCGTCGCTCCAGGACCATCAAGAAGAAAAATTTAGAGAGAGAGAGAGAGAGAGAGTACAAAAGGGAACAATGGAGTGACAAGCAAACCTGACTAATGTTAATTGAAAAGAATGACAAGAAATCAACTCCAGACAAAGATGAAGCGAGCGACATAGAGAGAGAGAGAGAGAGAGAGGAAAGAGAGGCTCACGCCAATGGCCCTGCTTAAAAACTAATTGACGGGGAAGCCCCCGATGAATGGAGGATGCCATTTACATGATTTTATTCATCAAAAGATTTTATGTTCTTGGAGTATATTTGTTTCATTTACTCCCTCGTCTAGATTTTAGATCTTAAATTCTTGGAATTTAATTTTTTCAACCCAAAGGCTAATCCAAAAAAGTATAGTAAATCACACTCTTTATGTGTTCGAAAAAAATAATGTCTCAATCTTAAATATGAACCGTCTTGATTTTCAAAGGTGAGATCTAAGTATTAGAAAAACTTAACTTAAAATTTTATTTTAAAAACAATTATTTAATAATTATTTGTTGGTTTCCAAAATTTTATATTCAAAAAATTTTCAAAGCAGGCTTCCTGCCAAGGGAATAAGTATAAATTATATGCTCATGTGGCAACATAGCATACATGCTCATAATCCCATGAAATAGAGTGTTCGGATGCTGGAAAATCCTCTGATTTGATCATCTCAACCTTAAGATGTATGAATATGTAAAAATTAACAAATAAAATCAAGTCTTAAAATAATACATATTATAATAAATTATCTAGACGGTCTGTTTTAAGATTTTCAAGTATTTATAGATCTAGCCAATTTATTAAATTTTAAATTTTATAATTAAATAACAAAAATAGATTTTCAAGCCATCATAATATTTTCGACACAATAACTACTTCTCTAGACAAAATTTTATAGGTGTGTCTTACTTCTACATAAAAAATATAACATCTTATACAAACCTCACCCTTTTATTTCATGATTGTGTGGTACTTTAAGCAATCAAAGTAAGCCGTACCTCCAAATAGTGTAGAAAGATGTTATTTTAGTGTTCGAAATCTTTGTGATGTCTTGAAAATATATTTTTATATTTAATTATGAATTTTAAGGCTTCAAAAATAGTATAGGTTAAACAAATGTATGAACACTTAAAAAACTTGAAAAAAAATGACCCAATGCTTACAAGACTCCCTATTTTAAGGTATTGAAATATTTTTTTCCTTACATCCATATATCTTGAGGTCAAAATGATCAATTAGAGGTTTTTCAGTTTGAAAAGAACTATTTCTAATGAGTTTTGAAAGTGTGCCTTATTTATATAGTATATAGTTGACACCTTGTATAAATTTTTTCTTTTATAAAGATTTACATACAGTTATTTTGACACGTTATGTAATTATGGCGAATACGAACCCCAAAATTGGCTATTCCGGAGGATTGGGAATGTTATGGTTGGTGTTTGAAACGCACTGTAAACGATGAACATGCATGTCCATGTAACACGATGCTCCAAGGCTGATTACTACAACTTGAGTAAGGACTAGTTAGTCATTAAAGAAAAATACAAGGACTCGAATTATCATTTTATTTAAACAAAACTGCCTGAAACTCTAGATAAGCTGAGGCGTCTCTTGATATCCTGGGGAATCTCCTCTCTCCTCTGAAACTGCTAAAATTTCACTGACAATATAGGAAAAATTAGGAGTTACTGTGTCTAAAACCCTAAACCTTTTTTCTCATCTTCTTCATTTCTATATTACTTGATTCTGGTGCATCAATGAGGAATTAGTCCTTAGTTTTATTGTTCATGGCTGCTCTTCGTGTATCATTGAGCTCTGGTATCGAGCTTCTCCATATTTGTAGCTGCACCAGTAAGCTTATTCCAGGGCCCAATAAAGATTTCCATGGAATCTCTTTGAGCTTCAGAGGAAAACCTAGGGTTCAGTTAGGAAGGCTTCGAACGCCGGCACCTTCTGTAACTCCTTCTTTGCTCACAAGTGGTAATGATTCAATGAATTTTGTGCATTTGATGAATTCATACGAATCTCTCTCTGGGAAGAAAACCCAATTCAGGATTTGGGCACATGGTGAGTCTAACGAGAGAATGAGCGGTGGTTTGAAAAAGCGTTTCTTGCTTGGTTTGAAAAAGCGTTTCTCGCTTCGGTTGAGGCCTCGCTTGCGATTGTTATCGGCTAAGCTGAAGAGAGAATTCTCCATGGAGAGACTAGAAGAAATGTTGGTACTGTTGCGCAGGAATTCAAAGAGAGTTACTCTCTCCACTTTAATGGCATTAGTGTTGGGTTTGTGTTATGGGTTTCTCAAGCTAACAGCAATGCCTCAACCTAAAACAGTGCCATATTCAAATTTGATCACAAACCTTCAATCAGGCTGTGTTTCCAAGGTTCTTTTCGAAGAGGGTTCCCGTCGGATATATTTCAATATAAACACTGATTCTCATATTGATTCCAAGTCATTTGATGATGTTTCATCAATATCGGAGAGTAAAAAAGTGGGTTTTCATGAATCAGAAGCTGCTTCATCTGAGAAAGCTGCTTCATTTGAGAACAATAGTAAGAAATTTGGGTTTGGTGAGAAAGGCAAAGCTCGGGGGCAAACAGAGTGGCAGTACCTGACCAGAAAAATCGACCATGATGAGAATTTTCTACTTGGTTTGATGAGAGAGACAGGAACTATGTATAGCTCAGCTCCCCAGTCAGTTCTCATGTCTATGAGGAGTGTGTTGATCACTATTTTATCTCTTTGGATTCCATTGACTCCTTTGATGTGGCTGCTCTATCGGCAACTATCTACTGCTAATAGTCCAGCAAAGAGGCGTCGAACCACCAGTAAAACTGTGAGTTTTGATGACGTGGAGGGGGTTGATGCCGCAAAATCAGAGCTCATGGAGGTGAGTTCATTCTTTGTTAGAATTGCTTCAAATTCTACAAGTGCAGATAGTAATATTGTCTATGGTAGAGGAGAAGGTATTCTATTAATTTGTTCATGAATCACTTATGACCAATAGGAATATATCAGAAATTTTTCTATGCCACACAAATATGTACAGTAATTTTTCTTCTTTGATTGCACATGTATACTGGTTTTGATACATAGTTTTTCCAAAATGATAGATAGTAGATAATGTCATGTAAATTGTAGTGGAGAGAAAACAGTTAATAAGGGATTATATCAACTTCGTATTTTGGAGATGTTTGTTTGTACATGGTGGATATAATAGTTTCCAACTAAATGTCACTCTTTTTTTTGTTTTGTTTTTTGTGTTTTGGGTAATTCAGTGGGGAAGACAAGCCCCTACCTTTTTTTTCAAGTAGATTGGGAGTTAGCTTTTTAAAGGTATTAGTGGGGTGGTGTTAATGGTGGGAATGAAAGCCACAATGTGGGTGCTACCACCACGACCCCAGCCCCTTTCCCCAAAAAAATGGTAAGTCAGTGGGGTTTTGGTCCCCTACCCTTTGGTGAGAATGGAGTCAGAGACCTTACCGTGGGGCTCGGCAATACTACCGCCAAGGCCCCAGGTCATTCTCCCAACTAAATATCATTCTTGTTAGCATAACTACAGATTCTAGGACTCTTGTGTCTCTAAACAAAATAAGGGCCTTTCGGAATGCATTAAGGGTAAAAATTTATTTTCTTTTCCCTTGGCTATTACTAAACAACGACAATTTGGTGGTGTTTCTACAAGAGTGGGGTTCCAAAAGTGATGGACCCGCACAATCCATTTGTGGTCCATCCAAACTGGCCATAAAGGGACACTTAAATTTTTTTTAATTTAAGAACCTGAAATTGATGTTGGAAGAGATATCAGTCAAAGAAGAAAAAAAACAAGGAAAAGAATCTGAAGACCTGATAAACCCAGTAGCTCACCATGTATAGCATGTCTCGAGAGGTATCCATTGCAATTGTTGGAATGAGTTCAAGGGATGCAAAAAAATCTTCGAAAGAAGTTATAATAGTATGTATGGTTGCACTTTTGAAGCTTCACAACATTGCTTTTCAAAGATCAGAGCAGGGGATGTCCATGTGAAATATGTGATGGCTCTGAAATCAACATGTCTGTGGACATATAACGCCACAGGGAACAAAAACAGCACGCAATGATGAAATTGTGGAGATGATGAATTCTTATTTGTATAAGGATATCTAAATTTCTCCTGGGGGATTGACCACACCATTGCTTTGAATGGCTTATTGAGTATAAGTGCAAGGGAACCTTACCATGCAGAAAAAGAAGATGAACCTATGTCAGCTGATTTTGAGAAAGAAATAAAAAGCATAAAATGGAAAATAGAAAGTTGATACATATCTTTGTCACTCTCTTTATGTGTGCCTCTTTGAAGGGTGCCAATATTCTTGTTAGTCCTTATGTGTACCTCTTTGAAGTGTGCCAAATTTGACAAAACCGAGCACATCTGTTAACTTTGAACTTTTCTGGGTGCACCTGTTGTTTACTTTTATTTGCCAAATCATCCATAGCTGTTTTTGTTTCGAGTAAATTGAGAGAATGAGGAGAGTCTATGGTGCAAATTGGATGTTTGGCTATAAAAGAAAAATCAAAAAGAAAGAATGATGGTAAATGGAGAAAGCTTCAGATATTCTTCATCATTTTATTAATGTAGAGCGTCTCACGAGGATCTATCTCTAAATTCACTAATACTATCGATTATGGTAACAACACAAATAGCTGCATCTGATCAAAATATGCATGGAACTTTCTCTCTGAAAGCTATAGGGCTTGGAGTTGGGAAAATACAATTGGTGTTCCTGATTCTATCTTACACTCTGTCTTGACTTGATTGTTGGAATCTCAGTAATTTACTCGTTTCGGTCTTAGGAAGTATATGGTATTGATGTGATAAATTATGTTGATCCTTCCTTGACGCCCTCAGTCATGTCTATGATAACTGCATTGACAATCAGAGAACTGAAAGGCTTTCAAGAAGAAGATAAAAAATGGGAACAACGATCTTCAAAGACTCCCTTCAGTTTGCTGAGTACCATTATCGATATGAAGGTAGCAGAGACATCCTCGCATTCGACTCCTGCATACAAGCCAAACCCGTCCTAATTATAATCTGGCCCAAAATCCCTGACCTCATACTTGTACGCTGTCTCCAAGTTGACCTTAAGAGTGATACCTCCTAATATGAAAAGGTCACTGATACAAAACATTTTCTTAATCTAGAAATTGTGTAATCTCATTAAAGCATCTTGTATATGAAAAAAAAAGATGCTTTGCATTGTTCAAAAACGGATCCCGAAAATTATGTCAAGATCTCTCGTTATTTGAGGGGCAATGGTTATACAAAGTGGAATAAGATTGAGCTCCTATGAATTTCTGGTGGTTAAATTTGGCAAAAATACATCTACAAAGAAAAGGAAGATCTCTGGCTAGACTCATCCACCGGGGCTGTCCCAGGCACAGAGGACCATAATTTTACCTTATGGCTTTCATGCCAATAACAGAACTACATCAGTTTGGGATATAACATATTTCATTATGCCTTCACTAGGAATATAAAGTAGACATTGACTATCTGTCATGTCCTGTTGGCAAAAGAAATGCATAAGCCCAATACAAAAGCAGTCCTATTGCACTTTCAACAAGTGGAATCTATGTTATACCTTTTTTTTTCCCTACTATTTATATATAATTTTTGTTTGTTTGCATCAGTTTTTGTACGTCTTGTGTAATGATGCATGTTTTGATTGTTTCTAACAGATAGTATCATGCTTACAAGGATCAATTAATTACAACAAACTCGGGGCAAAGTTGCCAAGAGGTGTGCTTTTGGTGGGGCCTCCAGGAACAGGGAAAACATTACTAGCACGTGCAGTGGCTGGAGAAGCAGGAGTGCCCTTTTTCTCTGTCTCTGCTAGTGAATTTGTGGAGTTGTTTGTTGGAAGAGGTGCAGCTCGAATCAGAGACCTCTTCAATGTAGCAAGGAAATGTTCACCATCAATCATTTTTATTGATGAGCTTGATGCAGTTGGGGGAAAACGAGGAAGAAGTTTCAATGATGAACGGGACCAAACACTAAATCAGGTATCCACTTATTTACAAAGAGGAAGAAGATAAAACAACAAGAATCCAGGAACCCACTTACTGAATTAAGAAAAAATGACATGAAGCTAAGCAACCACTTGTCAGGAAGAGACAATAAGAACAAACTATAATGGACCTAATCTAATCCTAATACCTGGGTGGTTGTTTTGTATTGAATTTGACCAAGCACTGCTAATTGCTCTTGCAGTTATTGACAGAAATGGATGGGTTTGAGTCAGATATGAAGGTGGTTGTTATTGCTGCAACCAATAGACCAGAAGCATTGGATCCAGCTCTCTGCAGGCCTGGCCGGTTTTCTAGAAAGGTATTGGTCAGGGAACCAGATGAAAGTGGAAGGAGAAAGATCTTGGCTGTTCATTTACGAGGAGTTCCGTTGGAGGAGGATCCAAATGTGATCTGTAATCTAGTTGCCTCTCTCACCCATGGTTTTGTCGGAGCTGATCTTGCAAACATAGTTAATGAGGCTGCCTTGCTTGCTGCTCGGAGAGGTAACAAAGACTGTCTATTGTGTCTAATCTTGCTTTAGCATTTCGAGGGAGATCTAGCTAAATATGGCATTTTCTTTTCTTATAAAAATGTTCATGGGTTTGATGGCATTTGTTGTGGTATGGATAAGAGCACCCTAATTTGTAGGTATAGAAATCAAAAGGTGCAGTCTTATAGTCCAATGCATCAGGTGGTGAGGCATAGGCCTCAATCCTGAGGTGCACCAATCAGGCAATGATACACTATTTGTGAGAGTGAACCTACTCATAAATTTAGGATTGGATCCCAAAGGATCTTATATGACAACTTCTGTCTTGATTTTGATGATTCATTTATATCCAAATCTTTGAACCATCCTGTGAATGAAAACCCAAAAAAAAAAAAAAACCAATTGCTCAGGACACTAGAACATACCTACACTTAGAAAGATTTCACTGAATGTACACAAATGATGTTAGATTTATACTAATTCTTTAGTTGTGTTTTTCACAAAAGGGAATTACCAATTAAAAAAAAAACAAAAAAGGCCTCCAACACAAACACACACACCATATTTAAGGGGGCAAATGGCCCCCTTGACCATGGCTTGCCGATAGTCCTTAGGCACTCACTCATAATTTTATGGATCTTGGTCCATAGTCACTAGATATGTGATAGATGATTTTTATTTTGATAATTGATATATGATTAGATGAATTATCAGCTATAAAATGACTATAGTGACTCATGATATTATAATAGTGTGTGAATGCATGTAATATAAATGTTGATTATATGCCTTATATAGATAGGCAATGATACACCATTTGTTAGAGTGAACCTACTCATAAATTTAGGATTGGGTCCCAAAGAATCTTATATGACTACTTCTGTCTTGATTTTGATGATTCATGTATATCCAAATCTTTGAACCATCCTGAGAATGAAAACCAAAAAAAAACAATGTTCAGGACACTCGGAGCATACCTACACTTAGAAAGATTTCACTGACTGTACACAAATGATGTTAGATTTATACTAATCCTTTAGTTGTGTTTTTCACAAAAGGGAAAATGACCAATTAAAAAAAAAAGGCCTCCAACACACAAACACACACACCATACTTAAGGGGGCAAATGGCCTCCTTGATCATGGCTTGCCGATGGTCCTTAGGCACTCTCTCATAATTTTATGGATCTTGGTCCATAGTCACTAGATATGTGATAGATGATTTTTATTTTGATAATTAATATATGATTAGATGAACTATCAGCTGTGAAGATGACTATAGTGACTCATGATATTATAATAGTGTGTGAATGCATGTAATATAAATGTTGTTTATATGCCTTATATAGATAGGAGGTCAGAGATAGATCTTAATGTTTGATGAACACCATCGAAAGACTATGGTGATTTGTGGATAATTCAGTACCCTTTCTTGTCATGGTGCTACTTTTAATATAGGACTCTTGCTATGTAATATTTGTTGTGCATGTGTATATAATAGTAAGAAGAATTGAATCGTTTGTTTTTCATTTTTTAAAAATTTGAATATATATATATATATATATATATATATATATAGGAAAATATCTCCATACCCCCCATTTTTAAGTTTTATATCTCAATAGACCCAATGTTTCAAAACATATCTTGGGTCATAAAAATTCTAAGTTTTATATCTTTTAACCCCCTAAGCTAATTTTATCCCCTTTAAACCTATTTTTTTGTCCCAAACAAATATAAGAAAGACATCCTTTCTAAACACCACCCTTTCTCTCTCTTCACGTGATTTTCTTGTAAATCTCTCTCTTTACCTATTTTTCCACTCTCTCCCCTGTGTCTCTCACTCTCTCTCTCCCTCGTTAGAGAGATAAATAGGGTGAATGTTAGCGAGTGAGAGAAATTTGGGTGGAATATATCACGTAAAGAGAGGAAGGGTTTAGAATGAGCATGTCTTTTTATATTTGTTAGGGTTAAAAAATAGTTAAAAGTGGGTAAAGTTAGTCAGAGGGTTAGGAGATATATTTTGAATCTTTGGGTCTATTGATAT